CAACCCTTCCCCAATATTTTTGGAGTCACTGCTTGCCAGGAAGGAGGAATTCCAAACCCAGGACACCAAAGCCACCACACTCTGCTGTCTCCACCACAGACCCCCCTGGGGACACAAAGCTTGGAGATGTGCACTGGTGTCCTCAGAGAACCACCAGCAATAACAAGAATTCCAGCTTCCCATTCATTCCCATCCCAGCTCAACCCTCCTAAGCTGCTGATTAGTTTCTGAATGGGTTTTATGTGACATTCTCAGTGCGGTGCTAATCTCATTTTTTGAACAAGAAGCTGCAAAGGGAAGCAGTGAAGTGATCTTAATTCACCCCCTGCATTTTTACACAGGCTTGAGAAGCAGTTGACTTTTTTAAAATGTCATGATTTTTATCAAGGCTTTGAATTCCACCCCAGCAAGATGCGGGGAATATTTTAACAGATAAAAGAAAATAAAAATATCTCTTGCTTTTTTTTACCCCCAATGCTAATAGTAAGTTAAGTAATAAAGAGCAAGTGATTAACCGGCTGCTGAATTGGTTTTGAAATCTGGCCAGATGTGTTTGAGCAGGAATTGTTGGCTGATAGCATTTTTATAAATCTGATCTCTATTTATGCGCCTGCCTGAGAAGAGAGCACTTCTGAAATCTGGCTTTATAGTCCTCGATTAAATGATTCTGGATGAGGATTTTAATTTTCAGTTTGAAGAGAGTGTGTGTAATGAAATCTTCGCTGGTTTTTTGTCGTAGTGTATCAGACTAATCAAAGATCCTTCTTCCAACCAAGAGGCCAAATTCTCCTTGCAATGGGAGAACTTGAGAGTAAGGACTGATTTCTCAGTTAATATTGACAGAAATTATAATTAATTTACCTTGTTCTTGCAGCTTTCAGGACTTTGTTAATGGTGTGAGTGGGGCAGGCACCTGCACAGAGGAGTTTGCAATGAAAATGTTCCCATTGGCCCCTGGAAAAGGGATCAGGTTTTGTGCCAACTACGCAAAATCCACAAGTTTGCATCTCAAGGGCTGGGGCTGGAGATATTCTGGTTGGAACTTCCCCAGAGATGTTGCTTAACAGCAGCGTTAGAGCTGAGTGGAAACTTCTCACTTCCTCTTCCAGAATGAAAATGTGACTGAATCTCAGAATGCCAGAATGGATTGGTTGGGAATGGACCTTAAATCCCATCCAGTTCCACCTCCCGGGCAGGGACACCTCCCACTGTCCCAGGTTTCTCCAAGCCCTGTCCAACCTGGACACTGCCAGGGATCCAGGGGCAGCCACAGCTGCTCTGGGCACCCTGTGCCAAGGCCTCCCCACCCTCACAGGGAAGAAAATGTTATTGGTGTGATTTTGGGTTTTCTCACCTCTGTACACATCCATGTATTTTTATCCATGTGGATAGAGATGAAAATGGAATTTTTCCTCACCCAGTCCTGACACCTTCAGATGTTCCCTGTTCAAAGCCTGTTTTTTCATAGATCTGGTCTCCCTTAGGAAAGTGGGATAAACCATGGATGAGCCAGTTCATCACAATTATCTTGGTGGATGTGGAGGCGATCCACGTGCAGCAGCTCCAACCTAAAAGAACATCATGCAAGTCACTTTTTGGTGCAGTTTATGCGTTCACGATATTCCTGTGCACCCCAAATTTTTCTGTTTCATGCAAATCCTGCACCTTCACATCCAAGGTAATGGACATCCAAGATCTGATCCAAGGGTAGAAAAATCTCCTTCTGCTTTAGAGGGCAGAAATTTCCCCTTAGCTCGGACATTCAGCGTCCTTGGGCTCCAGACAGCAGGGGTTGGTCCAGAGGGATGAGCTCTGGTGCTGTCCCTGTTGGTTTTTGAGGCCAGGCAGCTCCAGAGGGTGTCAGCATCTGGATCCCAGATGTGCCCAGCTCTGGGACCACTGAACATCTGGGCACAGGCTGTGAGTCACGCCCGGGTTCTGAGGAGGAGCAGAGGGAACCAAGCCTGCCATGGATTTCCAGGCAGCTCCTGATCCAGCTGTGTCACCTTCTCCCAGGGCAAACACTGGCAAGGTTCCTCCCACTCAGGAATCCCCACTTTACTCTCTTGCCTGGGGTGACACCAAAAGCAGAGATTTGGGTTCTCAGGATCATTTTGTTGGTCCCTGCTCTGTTTTCCCAGACTAAGATGGGAATGGTGATCCATGAAGGGCTCTGGAAGCTCATTCCATGCAGCTTCTCCCCTGTAGTGGTTTGTGATCCACAGAGATCTCTGCCGGGAGAGGAACCTGGGGCCTGCAAGGGAGGGGACTGGGGTAGGTGGCAGTGGGTGACACTCAGGACTGGGCTGAATTTTGCCCAGCTGATCCACTCTCACTGCCCAGCTCCAGCAGACAAACCAGGACCATCTCCAGCTGCAGCCACCCCCACAGAGATGCTGCTCTGAGCTTCCAACCCTAAAGGTGATGAGCATTTCTCAGGTTTTTGGGGAAGGGGCTGTTTCTGTCGAGGCTGATGTGCTGCACTTTTCAACAGGAGCCTGAGTGCCCCCAGATTTAAGCAGAAACGAGTGCAGAACCTGTGAAACATCCCCAAGACATCTCCAATTTGGTGAAACCATCAATAACTGCTGCAGGGAAACATTAAGGGATCGCTTTATTTTTTATGAGCACAGAGCAAACCCAAAGCAGCTGCCATGGAAAGTGCAATGGCTTTATGATCAATTCCATGAGCTGCCCAAAATTTAACCCAACTTTTTGTTATGAGCTGAAGCAACTGGTTTGTGTGACTGATGTGACAGCAGTGACCCTGAAGCCAGGCAACCACGTGGAACCTGGTGATCTTCAGGGTCCCTTCCCACTCAAAGCATTCCACGGCTCTGTGATTCCATGTCCCAGCCTCCCAGCTGCCTGCACAGCCACTCCACAGGGCTGGGAATGTCTGGATTGCTGCATCCCAGCACCCTCCTGAGCAGAGCATCCAGGCAAGGACATCTTGCTCGCAGCTGCCAGCGGGGCTATCCCGGGAAGAGCTGCCCAGACAAAAATTGATTGCTGAACACATTCTGCTCCTTTGGAGCTCAGATGTGACAGAGCCTTTGTAGCAAAGCCCAGGAGGCTGGAAATTTTCCTGGGGAGAAGGAACCCTGTAAATCATTTCCTGTGTTAAAACAGCTACAAGAAGGAGCCGTGCCTGGCGAGTGCAGCAGGTAACGGATTTGGGCCACCTGGAGCTGTGCGTTTCTAAATTCAGGGCTAAAGGAGAGATTCATTCATCATTTGGGAGCCCCTGAAGGACCTGGGAATAGTTTTATGCGCATAAATAATGGGATTTTTTTTGCTATTTGTCACTTTCTGCGTTTTAGCAACCTCCTGGTGTGGGAGAGGGGGACAGGAGGGACCTTTATCCTGTGAACACTTGTTCAGCACATCTGATTTTTCTGGGGAACATTTGGCAGCCGGAGATGCCACAGGAGCCCTGTGCAGGCAGAAATTATCCACGTGGGAGAAAACACAGTTTTGATTTGTACTTTTCAAATGTCCACTGCACTGAGAGTACCCAAAACACCCAGGGCTGTGCTGGGAAAGGAATCTCCAGGAATTATTCCTCTCCCCACACTGATCCTTCAGCAGTGACAGCACTCAGATGCACAGGCTGCTTTGGGGTTTTTTTGTGAGGGTGCTGCTAAATTCCCTGGAAATCACCTCCTCCTGTAGATACTCTGCAAGCAGAATTCAGGGTGTCAGTGCAGGGAGGCAGTGAGGGCTGAGCCCCACGGCTGGGGGCTCTTTGCTGCTGTTCTGTTACTCCCAGGATCTCCAGGGAAAATCCCAGCAGCTGCTCCCAGCCTCCCGTTTTGTCCCGGAGCAGCACACATGGAACCCTCGGTGCCTGGGCTGTGCCCAGGGCTGCTCATGGAGACAGCGGGATGGGATCCGTGCTGGAGCCGGGCAGGATTTCCAGGCTGGAGCCCTCTCCTGGAGGAAAAGGCGGCTCTGCTGCCTGGAGAGCGGGGAGGGCGAGGCAGGATGGGCACATCCTCCTGCACCCGCGATTTAGGAGTGCCACTGGCGTTTGGAGCTCTCTGGCCAGGCTGTGAAGAGGAAGACAGGGGTGCTCGGCAAAGGCAACCCCAGATCCTGCTCCTCCAGAGCCTCTGGATAATTCACAGGGGCGTTAAAGGAGTGAGATCACTGCAGGCTGTGTTTCTGCCCCACCGCCTGCTCCTGGCCAGCCGGGGATGTGCTCTCCTGCCCTTCTCCTGTCTGAACTCTTCCAGCACCTGCCTCGGCACTGGGCTTTGCAGAGATGCGGGCTGGGACCATCCACCCCTGTCCGAGCTGATCCAGCGGCTCCCAGCGCTGCCAGAGCAAATTCCCTCTCCAGCTCCTTACGGAAGGTTTCCTTCAGCCTGTAGGGTTTGAAAAGCAAGCAGCGACTACCAGGGCGCACTTTTGTTTCCAGAGGAACATGCCAAGGGTTTGCAGGGTTTGCAGCAGGCTGGGGTAAGGCAGGAAGCAGAGCAGAGAGCCCTGGGACACGCAGGGGACCAGGGGCAGCCCCGGTAAAAGGGGCCCTTTAGGAGCAAGGGATTTCTTCCACGAGGCTGGGCTGGGATCTGGGGATCACGGCTGCAACAGCCTCACCTGGCCGTGCTCTGCGAGCCTTAGTTTGGTCCCTGGGCAGGAATGGACTCCGCTCACTTTGGGACTTTGGGGCTGCAGCAGCGCCGGGCGGGCAGGCTGGATGGATTTACAGGACACGGGTCCCAAAGGCCACGCCGGAGCGGGGCTGGCAGGGCTGGACCCCATCCCCAGCTCCCAGCAGCGGCTGCTCTGTTTCCCCAGCGCCGTGCCATCGGCCAGAGGTGGCTCTTTGCTGGCTCTTTGCTGGCTCTTTGCTGGCTCTTTGCTGGCTCTTCGCTGGCTGGCGGCGTTCGCAGCGCCCTGGGTGCGGGGCTGACCACTCCCCCTCCCTTTGAATAGCAGCCCTGCCTCAAACACTATGGTATTTCCATCCTCCCCGGCTCCAGCGCCGACAGCACCAGGTAGTTGGGAGGAGAGCGGACACAAGTGTGAGAAGCCGTGGAGGATACAAAGCTTTTCCCCGGCTCCTTCAGCTCAGCCGTAAGTGGTGGGGACAGAGGCGCTTTGAACTCTTTCGGGGGATGGAGGTACCTGTGGACATTTTCAGGACACGTCAGGTTTGGTTTCTGGTGATTTACTTTTCCTCTCTCCGTTTCCAGTTTCACCCAGTAATTGATTTGTGTGTCCCTACTGCAGGATGTTCTGTAAATGTCTCAGATGATGCTCCCCTTTAAAAATCTTTACATATATGTGTATATATGGTACAGAAATTTTATACGGAGATTTAGGAGAACATTATTATTTTCCTCATAGAGGTGGAAGGCTGCGCACTGGCATTAGTAGAGTGAATTAAATTTGCTGTTTTGAATTGTAATTTGGTTTTGGTGTAATTTGGTTGGGTTTTGCTGTGAGGGAGGGGAGATCCGAAATGCCTGGGGTTGGACAGACAGACCTGGGGCTGATCCCTGCTTTGCAGGGATGATTGGGAGGATTTGCTGTGACCCCCTCCAGGATGGCAATGCCATCCCCTATAGGGCTGAGAGTGTCACAGGTGCCAGCATTTGCCTTAGGGAGAAGCTGCAGTGTGACAGCTGCAGGGATGAGCTGCCGAGCCGCTGCCATTCCTGGGGGAGAGCAGAATCCTGCCCCCCTCCCCAGCGCAGGCAGTGGGAATTGTGAGTCCCTGAGGAGCCCAGCCAAGGCCTTCCCCCTTCCCACTGGTCTGTAAATCATTGCTTTGCATGTGGCTCACTCGGTGTCAGAGTCACCATCAGTTTCCCATCCTGTGCTGCCAGCTGACACCTTTGGGGCTGTGGGCTGGGCTGGACTGGTTTCCCACTCCCGCTGGGTTTGCAGCTTTCCCCTGCCTGCCATGGAAATAATGTTCTGGCAAGCCTGATTTTTGGGGCGTTTTCTCCTTGCCCAGGGGCTGGGGATGGAAACCCGAGGTGCTTTTTGTACCCCAGCACTGGGATGTGTGTGTCCCTTGTCCTCAGGTTCACCACAGAGCTTTGCAGGGGGGAACCGTGTGTCCCTCCAGATCACAAAACTCTTTCCCATCTGACAAGCTGAGGGACAAAGACACACAAGGTAACCCCACCTTCCCCAGTGGTTTGGAGCCCTGTGGAAGAGCAGGGTTTGATGGGATTTTCAGAGCAGGTTTGGGCAGGCTGGGCCAGGTGTCCTGCTGAAGGTCCCACAGAGATGCTGGGGCACTCCCAGCTGGGCTGTCCAGCCCTGCCCAAGCTCTGTGACATGGGGAAGGTGTGAGGATCCCTCTCTGAACATCGGGACACTGATCCCGTTTTTCCCCTTTTGCTCTGCCCCAGCTGAGGGCCTGGCCATGGCATTGTGCTGTGAGTCTGCTGCTTCATGGAGGCAAATTCGTGAGTGAAATAACAGCTGACCTAATGAACCCTCCCTTCACATCCTCCTGCAGTGAGCAGGGCAGAGCAGGGTGATTTAATGGCAGCAGCTCTGGCATCCCACCTAGACCCTGTCCTGCCTGAGCCGTGCTGTCAGCTCGCTGTGCTGCTGATGGGGGCATTATCTGAGCTTCATTAGCAGCTGAGCAATCGATGAATGAGCAGAGAGCAGGAGAAACGTAGAGAAAAAGCAGATTACTCCAAGCACAGAGACTGGGGGCTCTGTGAGCAGGGCCCGACTTTAACCAGCCTGGCACTGTCCCACGGCCCTGTCACCCACCCCAGCCACAGTTTGTCCAAACAAACGGGAAGGCTCTTGAGATGCCATCACATCTCCCTCGGGTCCGGCAGGCACCGGGGGAGGGAGGGAAGAGCAGCCAGGGATGCGCTGACAGGCGGCTCCTGCCCGTCCTTCCAGCCAGCTCCTCACCCCGCTAATCCCCCGGCAATCAGCGCTGGGGGCTCAGATCCTCGGCCTCGCCCCCTCACTTTCCCTGGGTGACCTTATCCCGGCCCTTTGACCCCCTGGAGTATTGGCAGCGGCTGCACAAGGGCCATGCTGCACTATTTACTGCATTGTTTACCGCAGCACCGCTGCTGCCCCGCCCGCTCGCCCTGCAGGAAACCGGCTGCGAACGCTCTAAAGTTACAAAATCATAAGAAATGAGGGATTTAGTGCGGCCAGTCTGTTAAAAACCATGGTTGTAAGCGTGTAAAGCACACTCCTGGCCTCTGCTCCGCTCCTGCATTAGGGATGCTCCTTTTGTCCCAGGCGCTGAATGGGAGGAGGTTTCTAAGACGCCAACAGATCAACAACCCTACTCCCCTGGGAACGGAGCTGGGAAGTGCCCGGATCCCAAGGGTTAAAGCCTGGAGGAAGGATGTCATTTCCACCGGCTCTTTGCCCCACCCCCTCAAAGATGATTAATTATTGCTCGATGCAAAAATGAAGTGGTTATCACTGAGCAGCTCTGGGCCAGCCAGGCAGCCCGGGGAGGGTGGGGGTATGGCAGGGGCTGCTGCAGGATTTTAAAGCCTTGATTCACCTTCTTGAAGCCAGAAATGTTTTGGTGGGGTTGCTGATGCTGCCCCATCCTCCTGGCTTCTCGTCAGACCCCACGGAAAAGTGATTGTCCCAGTTTATCGGGATGGAGGAAAGAGCCCAAACCGTGTTTAGTGGCTGTCCCAGGTGTGCCACCCTGCAGTGCCACCTTCCCTGGGTGCCCAGCTGGGGCTGAGGGATGTGGGATGGAGCTGAGTGTGGTGCTCCACCTCAGAAACTGGGGAACAGTCTGAGCCTCAGGACTTTGCAGCAGAGCCATGGATGGAGCATTAAACTGGGAAACAGAGGGGACTTGACTCTGCCACTGGGAAGTCACAGTGGCATCACTCACTTCCCTCTTCCTATTTAAAAAAAAACCATAAAACTAAAACATTGCATGAAAATAATGTGAAATGTCTTCATATATCCAACAGACAAAGTTCACTTTATTCTAATATTAATTTTTAACTCCTTCTCAACTTCTGCAGGGGGGTGTGTGTGTTAATCATGAGCACAAACAGCTTCTCCCTTTTTAAACCAAGCTTGGTAATTGACTTAAAATTAAAAAAAAAAAAAAACAAACTCAACCTTGTAAAAGAGGAGGGATGGATGTTGAAATGAAATTAAAATTTTAATTTAGTTTAGAAATGACCCAAGAGTGTAATAGCTTTGGCTGGTACTTGATCAAGTCCCAAAATAAATGCTGGTTCTCCCACACATGTTTTCACAATAGGACAGGAATAATAAGAGCAAACAATAAGGCTGAAGTTAAGCTGTTAAGTCATTAAGGATTTTACCAAATGGTTCTGATTCCCCTCTATTTACTAGGAGCTCTCAGCAAGCTCTGGATTATCTTGGTGTAAATCTGCAGTGATTTCCTCGGAATCAGCCAAGTTACCTGCCCGCAGAGCTCCAGGCTGGGATGGAGCTCAGCTGAGCTCCCTGACACATCCAGGGGAGGAGAGGAACTCTTTAGGCTCTTGTTAGAGGAAGCTGAAGAGAAGCAAAATATCGCTCAGCCATCAGGGAAACTTGCTGACAGTGAGAGATGTTTTGGGCTGTGAAGTAGTTTCCTCTGGGAAGTGGTGGAAGTTCTGTTAAAATTAGCCTGGACAAAGCACAGCAGAGCTCCCTCTGTGCTGTCTCTGCCTCCTCTTCCACGCTTGCTTTTCCAGAGCACAATTATTCTGTGACAGGATCTGCTCCCTGCTCTTTTCCAGCAGGGTGTGTCACCTACTGGGTGCCATCCCTGCCCATAGTGGGGGCTTGGAATGGTCCCTTTGGGGATTCCATGATTCCAGGTCCCTTTCACAGCCTCCAGCCTGTGTCTGTGTGTCCTTTAACCATTGTCACCCACAAAACCTGCATCAGGTCGGGGAACTGATTTAATTTGCGTTTAACCAGGACTTCTCTTGAACCCACAGAGATGGGGATGCAAATTGTTGCCGAGTTTTGTATTATGTTCCTGCCCCTCTCTTGTGCTTTTGAACAGCTCGGCTTGGAGGGGAAGAGAAACCAGAAAGCAAACTGGCTCTAAATGTCCTGGAGCTGCTGTCTAGAGATGCTAATTCACCTCTCGCAGGCTGGTGAGGGAGCTGCTGGGGCTGCTGTGCCGCTCTGGTTAAATCCTATTGCTATTCCCTGTCGCACGAAGCCTGTCCTGGGTGTCAGGACGGGTTTGGTGCTGCTGCTGTCAGTGCAGAGCCGCGGCCTCGAGCAGCAGCGTGCGGTGCCTTGCTGGAAGGTTCAGCCTGAGAAAGATGCAAACGACACCCAGCGAGGCATGAACGGCTCTCGAGAGCTGCTGCGAGCGAGGCGCCTCGATCAAAGGGGAAAAAACCCCAAACCAAAGCCAGCTGCTACTGCACGGGCTGCAAGGCAGAGAGCAGAGCTGCTCCTGGGGACTGCTGGCTGCTCTCTGGGGCTGTGACCCCGCACTCTGGGACATGTGGGTGTCACTGCAGAGCTGAACAGCCCCAGCTCGCTCTGCCTCCTTGGCAGCATCAACCTTTGCTTTAGGGCACGGTCGGCCCGTGTTTACCTGAGACGGTTTCCATGTGCTGAAGGTTGGGCTCAGCTGTGTGCTGGGATCGAGCACCTTGCCCTGCCTTAGGGGATGCCCTTCATGCCAGGGATGCTCCACCCTGCAAGTGCCCAAGGCCAGGTGTGACAGGGCTGGAAGCACCCTGAGCTGGTGGGAGGTGTCCCTGCCTGTGGAACGGGATGAGCTTTAAGGTCCCCTCGAGCCCAGGTGTTGTGTGCTCGCTCGGGTTGCAGCCGTGGGCTCCGCACCGTCCCTGTCTCGCCCAGCTGCAGGGAGATGGAAGCCGAGGCGTTTTAACGCCTCCTTAGGGCGTGCACAGATGCTGAGATTAGTGAAGGCTTCTCAGCCACACTAACTCACACTTGGTGTGGTTTCGAGTACGGTACAAAGAGAAACAAACTGCTTGTTCTTCTACCACGCAGGGGTAGTTTTCAGCCTTGTGAATTAAAAAAGAGAAGTTTGAAAAAAAAAAAAAATTCTGCTGGTGTTCGAGGCAGAGTTAGTAATAACCAGCAGGAAATGATGATGATAATTTAATACCGTGCACATGCAGGTGTTTTGTGTTGGGCCATTACTCACAGGGCGTGGGGGAGATGCTCTGGGGGTCCCTGTTTGCTGAGGTGCTGAGTGAGACACAGCCAAAGCTGCTCTGCACTTCCCTGGGGGTGGAGAACTGCAGAGAGCTCCGGCAGCAGCAAAGCCCCCGGGGAAGGAGCAGAGGGAAGGCTGGAAGAGGATCCCAGGCCCTCCAGATGATGTTCAAGATGTAGAAGTGGAGGCTGGAGGTGATGTGGTTGTGCTGGTTCTGCTGAGAAGAGCTCAGCACAGAACATGTGGAGCACGAGTCTGATGAAGGAGCTGGGAAGGGGCTCAGCCTGGAGAAAAGGAGCCTTGGGGGGGCCCCTGTGGCTCTGCACAACTCCCTGACAGGAGGGGACATCTGGGGGAGCTCAGTCTGTTCTCCCAGGGAATAAATGATAGAAGTAAAGGAAACAGCCTCAGATTGCACCAGGGGAGCAACCTGGATATCAGGAAAATTTCCTGGATATCAGGAAAATTTCTTCACTCAAGGGTTTGCCAAGCACAGACGCAGCTGCCCAGGGCGTGGTGCAGTCACCTTCCCTGGAAGTGTTCAGAACGTGTGAAGTGGCACTTGGGACAGTGCTGGGCCTGGCAGTGCAGTGCCAGGTAAGGGTTGGACCGGCTGGTTCTGGGATTTTGTTGTAAGATAACTCAGGCAGGTGTTTGCAGCTGCAGTGGGCACAGCCCAGGGCTGTGCAGGAATGCAGAGTTGCTCTCCAGGAGCTCTCCAGGAGCCTGAGCTGTGTCCTCAGGGAGGTTAAAGCAGCTCCTCTGCATCACCAGGCTGGGAGCAGCCATCCCCTTGGCTCCAGGTCCCATCCTGCCCGAGCCAGCCCAGATTATTCCCTTTCCTCTTTCCTCCCAGCACTTTGGAATCACATCCCCCAAAACAGACAGTGCCTGCCTTGGCCCTGTGTTTCCATTGGCATTGCAAGGAGACAGGGAGAAACATCCACACTCTGAGAACAGATATGGGCTCATTGATGATTAAAAATCCCAGCTAATGAGCAGCTCTGGCAGGACTTGCTCAGGAGAGTGAACCCTGTGAGAGGAATGCCATGTGGGACTGCAAGGGAGCCATGCAGCGAGGGAAACCTAAGCTCATGTACAAAACCAGAGGATGTGTCCTGAAAACAGCAAAGTTCTTTGTGAGACAGATGGAGCTTGACAGAACTTTCACAGGAAAGGTGTTGATCTCAACAAACTGCCTTTTTCTTTTTTTTCTCTCTCAAAAGAAAAAAAATTGGCAACAATTTCCTACCGATTCTCCAGCAAAGGAAATATGATCTCATCTCCCCTCAGAGCAGCTCCCTCAGCTTGCAGGTGATCATTCCCCATTGTCAGGCTCTCCCCTGGTTACACTCCTGCATCTGGGTGCTGCTTTGTTGATACGACCCCTCTAATCACAATATTTCCTATTAACCCAGGTATTTTTATATATAACCTGCAAACTCTGATTTTGTGTTATTTATAAATGTGTTAACTGTTGGTTTCATAGAACACTTTTTGGCAAAAGCATGGTTTTTGTTTTGTTGTGTTATAGATCCCCTCTAATGGATTTTTAAAGGTGAAATCTTTATTAGAGGTCAAAACCAAAAATTTTTAATTGAAATATTTGAGAAAATCTTTTGCCAAGAATTATCTCATGAAAAGGATGGAGGGAAATCGAATGTTACCCTGGTCTGTGTGCAATGTATGATGGACAAAACTATCACAGAAATCTTTATCATACAAAGGTGACAGTGTGTTCCAAGTTTATAGAGCTGGGGAAAGCATGGATTTAGGTGTTGCTGTCAGTTTTTATGGCATGGAATCTAATGCCCATCTCCATTCCTGCAGGCACCTCCAAGATGATGAGTTATTACATGGACACCACCATTGGCAGTGCAGCTCCTTATCCTTTGGCTCGGCCTGGAATGATGGTAAGGAATGGACAGGACAAGGGGAATGGCCTTGCACTGAATGAGGGTGGGCATAGATCAGATTTCAGTAAAAAATTCACCCCTGGGAGGGTGGGGGACCTTGGCCCAGAGAAGCTGTGGCTGACTCTGGGTCCCTGGCAGTGTCCCAGGCCAGGCTAGACAGGGCTTGGATCAACCTGGGATAGTGGAAGGTGTCCCTGCCATGGCGGGGGCTGCAGTGAGAGTCTTTAAGGCCCCTTCCAATCCAAATCCCTGCATGACTCTATAAAAGACAGGAATTTGGGGTTTCCTATCCCAGCACTTTTCTCTCAGGTTGCTGTGATTTCTCCAGCCCTGCCCCAGCTCGCTGCTGTCTCCTGAGTATCCAAGTTTTTAGGCAGTTCAGAGCAGTCCTGAATTCCAAGTGTTTACCCAGAGCTTCTCTGACCCTCTCGAGCTGGAAACATCCCCTGGGAATGGGATCCTTCAAATCTCCCCTGGGAATGGGGTCCTGCAAAC